GCACGAAACAAATCTTGTTTGAGTCGATTTTCAGAAGACAGAGAGCTTTCCAAATGAGCAATCTTCTCTCTACATGCTTTCAGCGTAGCCTGCATTTCCTGAAATTCAGAGAACTGTTGCAAAAAAAAGCTCCAGTTTTGGGGTATTACATTCCAAATGCCATGTTTTACTGGCTCCCGCACCATCTTTCAAATGACAGACCTGTATATCGTTATCTTCCTTGTATTTGTGCAGGTGTTTTAACTGTTGTTCGTACATTTTTGTAAGTTCCTCCTTTGCTGTTAAATCGTGTCGCATGGCTCGCAGTTCCTTCTCCATCTCCAGCTTTCTAGCTTTACATGCTTCGCCACACTCAGCTATCCTGAATTTATATCCGTAAAAATACGGCACCACAATCACTGGAAGTCTCACTGCGACACAGCAAAATGCCCAAAGAGGTTAACTAAGTCGGAGCGAAAGCTATGATTCTCGCAGCATGCTTCCTCAGATTACCGATGGATCTGAACTGGAATTTCAACTTTAATTTTTTTCTTCGGGGTAAATGAGTGGGAGGATCGACGATGCTGGTTTAAGATAGGAAGTCGAAACAAACAGAAGGGGATTGGAACAATGACTGATTGAAAGTGAGGAGCGGGTAGATATTATGGGTTATATGGGTTGCGATGCTATGCAATATGCCTAGTAAACGCAGGTAAGTCTGTGCCTGTCAGCTTTCACTTGGCATCTAATTTCTTGATTAGCATCATAAACCCATAAATAAAGGAGAAACAACGAGAACGCTGACAGGAAGGCAGAATGCAACGGATGAAGAACGAACAGTGGTCATGCAGTGGCGAAAGAACTGTTAAACCCTGTTTCAGAACCATTTTGAAAATAAAAAGATGCTAGCGCACTTGCTTTTATGCGTTTTTTGCAGCTATGCAATGCAAAAACGCATGTTGACGAGGGGTTGTCTGTGTGTTCTTGTGTCTGTGTGTGCGCTTGTCACGCACTTTCATCTCAAGACCTACAAAAGCTGCAGGGCTGAAATTTCGGGAACTTAATCTAC